ACATATTTATTGTTTCTAACTGATTTTTTTTAAAATTTTTTTATCAACATGATTCGGTTAATGGACTCTTATAGAAAAGAACTGAGGGATTTACAATGCAGCAGCTGGAAAATCAATTAATGCTTTAAGAAAGGCGTATGATGAATGCGGAAATAGTGCAAAAGGTGTGGGGAAAATGTTTCAGTTGGTAAGAGCTGATTTTCGCGGGAAATTTCCCCGCCGACGAATCCTTCTGGAACATATCATAACACCACTAATATTTATACTACCTCCGGTCCTTAATATAAGATCTCGTTTGACTTTTTGTTTGGTCCTAATTATAAGACCCCAATCCATTTTTTCTTTTATATTTATGCATTTTTTTCTAAGATAGTCCTTCTAATAATGATAGTTCTAGCCAATATACTTAATTAGCAAGGATATTTTAGGAATGACAACACTTATTTATTACAAATAACTAACTTAACTTACTTCCTTAATCTCCTCAAATAAGTCAACTGGGTTTTATAATTAGGACCGGAGGTAGTATATATTAACGTAGAACTTCAGAAACGTAACGCCATTGGGGTATCTGAACCATCCAAATGGTCAAGATGTGGCACCAGAAAATCATGCCCAAGTGCATATATGCATTTGCCACATTTTGTTGCCAGAGAAAGTAGGAGAAAAGGAACGGAAAGACGCAAGAATTGTAGGCAAAATAAGAATAAAGAGATTAAGAATAAGAATATTAACATTAAAAAACACAAAAAACTAAACGGATGGGTTCAGGCTTTTCTTCTGGCGCAAAAAAACGCAAAAAAACGTGGTGAATTAGGGGTGGGAATGTTGGATTGTAGGGAGCTTGCTGAGCTGTGCTGCTTCGTCTTCCTTCAGGTTTCGTGGTTTTACTTCTACATGTCTTTAGAAGGGGGGGAAAAATGAAAAAAGCTTTGAACCTTATTGGACCCCTCACCCACTCCTCCATCTCGCTGGTCCCCCTTTTTTTTTTGGACCGAATACCTCGCTGGTCACCTTACTAAAACGGAGTGACCGAGTGAGCTTCGGGGACCGAAGCAGGAGAGGGGCCTCGCCACCTTTCTTCCCCTCCATTTTCATTCCTTTTTTCTTTTAATCATGAGATTAAAATTTAAAAGGTTTAGATTTTGTATTTTATTAAAATATGAATAAAATGTTGCGAAAAATGATTAAAAAAAATTGAAAATTACTATGTTGTTGTTATTTGCGAATTTAATGTTGTCAACACTAAATAAAGTATTATTACCAAATTTGATTTAAGATTTAGTAATTTTTAACTGTTTTTGTCATTTTTCCTAAAATGTTAATTTTTAAAAAAAAAATAAAATTAAACTGCTGAATTTTAGCCCTGCTAATTTAAAATAAATATAAAATATTTTAAAATTATTTTATATAATATGAAATTTGAATTATTCAAATCGCAATCTTAATGGTTGAAATGAGAGGTGGATGAAAATAGAGGGAAAGTGAAGTGGAGTGACCCTTTCCTGGCAAAATTATTTTCGTGGGTACAGATCTTAAAAAATCTTTTATTTTTGGCCATTCTTAGAAATTATCATTTGAAAATTATAGGTATGGACCATTGAAATCAGGAGGAATTGCAATAAGAAGGGATTTAATTATTCTAAAATTTGCTGACAACTGTGCAGCATGTAATGACAAGTCCCAATATAAAAGATAACAAGTGGTTTATACTGCTCACTTGTTATTGAGACTTTGATTTTTTTTTTTTTTCGGGGGAATCTTATGACAATTCAACCTTGAAATTATTTTTACAAGGTTCATATCTCACCCCAGTGAGCTTAGGGCGATGAGCACTCAAACCCGATTCTAGCAAAACTAATGCAACAACAAAAGCTTCTCTCTCTATATCTCGCTCTCTCGTCAAACGTAGGAAGAAAAGCTTTCCTTACCCCCCCCCCCCCCCAAAAAAAATCCTCCATCTCTTCTTCATAGGAAAACTGACGTAAGAAGAAAGGCTTTTCTATTCTCTCGTCATCTTATAAAAAAATGACTTGGAAAGAAAAGCTTCACTCTATATATTCATTTCATGCTACACAGTGTGAGTTGTTCATATATAGTTGAGAGCTTAAATCTTTGATATACATATTACAAAGTTCTCAGTTCGTGAGAGAGCTCCGAAGAAATCGTCCGCCAGCGTCGCTTCCCCTGCAGGTAAACCTCTACTACCTCCGGTCCTTGATATAAGGCATCATTTGACTTTTATTTTGGTCTTAAATGTAAGACCTCAATCTACTTTATCTCTCATATTTATTCATTTTTTTCTCAAGATAGTCCTTCTGATAATGATAGTTGTAACCAATAAACCTGATTAGCAAGGATATTTTAGGAAAGACAACATATATTTATTATAAATAACTAACTTAACTTATTTTCTTAATCTACTCAAATTAGTCAACTAACTCTTATATTTAGAGACGGAGGTAGTATATCATTACAGCATATCGTATCGTTTTCTGCTGTAATTTCTTCTGTTACGGCGTCGCCTCCGTTGGATAGTAAAGTACCGAATGAAGAACATTCCCCGCCACCATCATTCGCCGGACATCTTTACTGCTCCGTCGTCAACCACAACACCACCACCCTCATCTTCATTGGCCTCCATCGCCCCGCTTTCTTTTCTTATTCCGATTCTGTTGTTGCCCAGAAAATTAATTTGTCTGTTTGTTTCTTCAGCATATAATTGCTTGCTTCTTGGTGTTACCTTGCGATTTCGTTGATAGAGACAACAACGTTGTGGTAATAATAATGCAGGGATGAGTTATTCATCAGATGCAAAGGGAAAAAAGGTGATTATTGGAGATAACATCGGATACGACGTACATATGTGTGTGAATGTGATAATAGTGATGATAGTGCTAGTGGCAATTATTCATCAACCTCAAAGGAAAGGGCCATCGAGCCAACCGTCATTGGAGACTCGCTGGGCTACGGGAGGCTACCTCCCCACCGACACGTAAAATTTCTCTCCATCATCACTCCACTGTCATGATCTCTGAAGCTTTTCAAACTGATAAAAATTATATAGGTTATGCAAATTTGCCTTCAAGGTTAAGTTTTGTTAGATTCAAAGTTGTCCTGAAAGTATTAAAATAGAACAATGTTGCACCTTAATTTTCATTAAAAATCTTAACAGTTAATATCAATATTTTAACAGTGAATGCTAGTTTACCAATGGGGTGGGCAAACATTGTTACGTTTTAAAACTTTCAGAACAATATTGAACCCAAAAATACTTTCGGGTCAACATTAATCTTGAGCTAAAACTTTCAAGATAAATTTACTCCTTAATCTATATACATGTTTCATTCTTTTTGTGTCTGGTTTAGTGTGTTATTTTTGACTTGCTTTGTTCTTAATTTCTGCTCCGTAATCATAGTATTAAAATCTAACCCAGGAAAACTAGTTAGACTAGTAAACTGATCTCTTGGCTAGTTCGGCCAAGAGTTTTAGATGTGTCGACTAGGTTAGATTGTATAGTTTTGTTATCTCCTCGCATAGTATGAATAAATAATGTTGTTTTGAGTCTAAAAAATAAAAACAATAAGTCATATTTGTCATTAGTAACTCCATTTATTTCGATTATGTGTGGTTTATATATAAACATTTCATTTACTTGTTAATTAATGTATTTAATTAAATAATATTGTTTTCAGGGGTTATGTATATGAATATTTTTATATTTCTTAATTAGATTTATTATTTAATCATGATTTTGTTGACTCTAGTTCAACTACTGACTTTTAAACTATTGTCTTAACTAATTCAATGATTGACCCACTTTTCAATGTGTTGTTTGTAATATTTAAATCACTTAGGAAAATGGGTCATTAATTTTTGAACCAGAGAAGTTTTTGAGAATTTGACCGCCTTCTCATTTTTTAACGCAGGATGAATTCTTCAATCCCAAAGGGAAAAGATGACATAGGAGAATACATTGGTTATGGTTCAACATATACCACCAATTCATATCAACAGCCAACGCCAGGAACTTAAGTGCTTGTTTGGCATCACTTAGTGCCCGTTTGGATGAGCGATTGGAAAAGCTGCTTATTGGAAAAGCAGCTTATGGATAAGTGAAATGGGATATAAGCTAAATTGAATAAGCTGAATTGTGTTTGGATTGGAGTTCAGAAAAGCCCGTTTGCAAAAGTGAAATGGATAAAAAGCTGTTTGGATTATGGTTGAGTAAAAGTAAGTTTGGTTGTAAAATGACTAAAATGGGTATGAGTTTTAATAAATAGTAAAAAATAGGAAAAAAATAATTTCACATAATACAATGGAATTAAAATAATTTAATACAAATAAGTGAATTAAATTTTAAAATTTAGAGAAATCTAAAAAATTATTTTAAATATAAAGTGAAAGAAGGAAAAAATGAATAGAGATAATATAATGATGAAGTAAAATTTATTTAGTGAATTAGAATTACGAACTGTAGAGAAATCATAAAAAATATTTAAGAAACGAAGTGCAACATGATAAAAAAAAACATAATACAATAAATTTAAATTAATTTAATACGAAGAAGTCAACTAAACATAATTTAAATGGATAACAAAGTTTTGAACTCCAATTGACAAAGTAAAATAAAATAATATTACATAATTAATTATTTGATAAACTATGAACGATTTGGTCTCTGATTGCATCACGAACACAATTCATATGCGATGAAGACTGTGATGTAACGTTTGAAGGCGATGGTTGACTAGCTTCAGCTGATCATGTTCGGCCACTATATTATCATTTTCAGCTTGTTCAAAAAGGGAGTCGGAGCTTGAATGCCTCCTTATAAGGTTATGAATGGCCATTGTTGCACAAACTAAGTATACTTGTGTTTGGAAGTCGTAACTACGCATGTTTCGTAAGATGTGAAATCTATTCTTCCAAACACCAAAAGTTCTTTCTATTGTGCACCTTAAACTGGAATGATAGTAATTGAAGGCTTCATTGATATTTCAAAATCCTACTTGTCGTCGGAAGTCAGGAAGGTGGTAGCGCTCAGATCTGTATGGACCTAGATATCCATTTGGTGTTGGATATCCCGCATCAACCAAGTAATATTTCCCTAATGATTCATGAAACAATTAGAGAGATTGTGAAAAGAAAAAAAAATGAAATAATTAAAAAAACATGCGTGATTGAAACTTATAAACATATACCTGGAGGTGGATGAGGGAAATTAAGAGATGAATTTGTAATAGCACTGTCAAATATACGAGCATCATGTGCAGATCCCTCCCATCCCGCCAAGACAAAAGTGAAACACATATCCCAATCACATACAGCCATGACATTTTGTGATGGATTTCCCTTTCTGCCAATAAATTTGTCTCTTTCTGCAGCAGGGACAACACACTGAATATGAGTGCCATCAATTGCTCCGATTGCGTCCTTGAAAAATGGATAATAACGTGGATCGGTCTCAATTTTTCTATGAGTTCCACGAAATGTAGGATCTATGGGTCGAATAAGTTCACTCGATAGGCTAAGGCAAGCTTGCAGTACATTATGAAAGTGCCTACTTACAGTTTCCCCTGAACGTTGAAACCGTTCCTGAATCATCCTGTTGCATTGTCCATGTGCAATCGTGTTTAAAAACATCGCGACCATTTCTTCGATTCCTACGTATTTAGACTTTCGTAAACCGTGTTCCTCCAATTCGGTACATAAGAGGTGGAAAACATATTTATCCACTCTAAACATTTCAGGACATCGATCATCATGGCCATTCATAATACCTTGCACCCATAAATTTCCTGTCTGCTCACTAGTTCTGCAGGGTTGTTTAAACATATACATTTCACAGTAATGACCAACCAATGCACCTACTGCTTCATATTGTGTTAATTCCTCATTAATCTGTCTTGAACGGTCATCTTCATTGCACTGTGAATCATCATTCCAATCCTTCAAAGTATCTTCATTCAATGGTGAATCATCATTCCAATCCTTCAAAGTATCTTCATTCCAAGAAGCCATTTCTGGAGTTAACCCTGTAACTATGATGACAACAAAGTGTAAGCATTATAAGGATTACCCTAAACAATGTGTAAATAATAATTGAAGGCAAAAATAAAAAGAGAATACTTAGGTCAAATTACTTAAATGGTTAAAAAATGTTTTATTGATGTGTAAATTAGAAGAAAACTTATCATAAAACTAATAAGAAGCGGACCATTTGACAACATTAATTGATATGGAATGTACTTTGGCTCATTCCTCCTGTCGCCTACAACACTCATTTGCAGGTAGCAATTACATCTGTGCCAGGTTTGGCCCAAAACTTAGATCTAAAAATCAACAAATGTCAAGCATTCATAACAAAAAATTGTTCATCACCGAAACACACCACAAAACCAGGCCAAGAAGAAAAAAATAACATAGCACGGTGGTTCGATTTCGGTCAATCTATTAGCTCACACCAGATCAACAAACACACACCCTCCACATGCTTTGATTAATACCGTATCCTACATTCACCGAAAGCAATACAACACTATGGGAATCGGTCAACCTGGCACAGATCAGATCAATCGAAGTTTGGCAGAGGTAGATCAGGCTCAGATCTTCGACGCACACCTGAGATGGACCATCTGACGGCGGCGACCGGGTTGGGACGACGATAGCAGCTCCGACAGGGTTGGGACGACGATAGCAGCTCTGCCTCGGTCACTCAAAGCCACACCCAAGTTGCTTCCTGTCACGGAGGAGACGCGACGGAGCTCACGGCAAGTCTCGGTGGTTCTGGGGACGGAGGATGAGGGGAGGCAGCTCGAGTGAAGGACCAGGCTTTCGGTCACTCGAAGCCACACCCAACACGAGGACCTCACGGCGGAGACGCGACGCAGCTCACGGCAACTCTCGGTGGTCTGACGACAACGCGACGGAGGAGGAGGCAGGATGAGGGCTCGCGGTCGGGTAGAAGGGAGAGGAGAGCAGATGGGAAAGAAGAAAAGAAAGAAGGAAGACTCAGGAAGAAAAAGAAAAGACCGAAGACGCGAAAGAAAGGATCCCAACGGTAAAAAATAAGAGCTTATCTGATTCAATAAGCCATAAAAATTGGCTTGGACCAGAACGTGCGTTGAGGAGCTTAAAATTCATAAGCCACTTTTTTTCCAAGCCCATCCAAACAGCATCTGAATTCCAATCGGGCTTATGCTGATTTTAAGCTACTTATAAGCTCCTCAGAAGCCCAACCAAACGGACCCTTATTTTGAGCTTATAAGTAGCTTATAAGCTCTATAAGCTCGATTGACACAATTGGGTTTGTTTGGATCAGCTTTTCTGCAATCGGACTTTTGTCTGAAAAGCTACAATAAGCTATAAGCTAAAATTAACAGCTTATGACTTATAGCTTATGGCTTATAGCTTTTGAAATATGGAGAGAGAAAAAGTTAAGAAATTTATTACCTCTTTTGGGTCTTATTATAAGCCTCAAATAACTAATTTGTAGATAATAAAAAATCAGTTAAAATAGTTGAAAGTAATGAATAAGTTAGAAATATATTTTATTTTTAAATATGCTCCTAAAAATATACTTTTATTTTTTCATGTTTCACTTTATATTAAAATATTTTTATGACTTCTTCATATTAAATTATTTTAATTTCATTGTATTATGTGAAATTATTTTTTAATCATGTTTCATTATTTATTAAAAAACTCATATCTATTTTGGTCATTTTACAATCAAACTTACTTTTACTCAATCATAGTCCAAACAACCTTTTACCAATCTCACTTTTGCAATCTAGTTTTTCTGAACTCTAATCCAAACACAATTCAACTTATCCAATTTAGCTTTTATCCAATTTCACTTCTCTATAAGCTACTTTTTCAATAAGTTACTTTTCCAATTGCTGATCCAAACGGACCCTAAATGTCATTGGAAAAAGCTTGGGATAGAACTGATAATATGAGTGGGATCCACAGATCCGACCTACTTGAAAGCAGGCTTTTTGGCTTGCTAAGCCGCCAACTCGTGAACCTACATTTATTTTTTGAATTTTATTAATATTATTATATGATTATATGTCATATTTCATTTGAAAAAAAAAAATATCTCTATATTAATTTTTCTATAAAATATGTAAGGGAAACAAGAACTTTATTATATTATATATGTGTGTGTGAGGGAATAATATAAAAAAAATTGAAAAAATTAAAAAAAAAAAAAAAAACAAATAAATGTGAGAGTTTGGTGGGCCAACTCACCAGCCACGTGAAAGCGGACCTTTTCGGCCCTCACTATCTGGGTTAAACCTATCGCGAGTCAATTCCATAACGTAGGAGTTGATCATTGCAACCCTTAGCTCTACGTGCCCATTGCCCCACCGGCCACCGCACACTAGCTAACTCTACTATCTTAGCATTCTACGTGTTCCAATGCATGTGTGTGGCAATGTGTGTTTTTTTTTTTTTTTGGCCAAGTATGTGGCAATATATGTTACCAATTCACCATTACGGTTCTTACCCAATTCTAATTAAGTGTGGAAAATTATGTAAGTATAAGCAAAATGTCCCAAGAGAGTGGAGTTTGAGGTCTTCTCTTACCTTCCCTTCCCCTATTCTCCTTTTAGCCCTTTTACCCTTAAAATTAATTTCCAATAGTTTGAATTAATATATTATAAGAATATTATTATAATATTAAATAACAATAATAAATTGAAATTACTAAATTTTGATTTGAATAATTCATCACTGAAATGAAAAAATATTTATAAAGTAAATTCTTTTTTACTTTTTTCACCTGAAGTTTAAACCATTCGAGATTACAATTTATTACCTTTTACATTTGTTCATTCATGTAATTTTTCTTTGTTAAATGTCAACTATAAAATATTAAATCTAAAAGTAGAGTAGGTAAGAACGAGAATCCAATTTAATTTCCTTTTTCACTTTTTAGGATTTATATGTGCAATTTAAATGATATTCTTTCACTTATTACTGCTAGTACTAAATACCACTTGTGCTTTCCGGTTTTTTTTCACAATGCTCCTTTTGATCCATAAATAGATATACATGTATTATGAGTGGGATTAATTTATTGAAAAAATGACAATACTAATTAAAGATGGGAAAAATTGGGGATTTTAAATCCCTATTTGAAAAGTTAATTGTAGAATAGAATCTGACTTTAGATGATAATAAGTTCAAGGGGTATTAAAAGACTAAACAATCCAAGTTGCATATTCTTGATCTCGAGTTGTATATGGTTGATCCTAATTACATATTACATATGTCTAGTTGCATATATGATCTAATGACATATCACTTATCCTAAGGTATATATCCTTAATCCTAATTGCATTTCATTAAGGGTATTATGACAATTTTATTTAATTCTGCAAAAGGACCTCAAAAGTTTAGGTCACATTCTATAATTAAATTTTTACATGATGGTTTACCCAGTTTTCCCATTAAAGATTTATAAAATCACTCGGTAGAAATGTATTTCGATATATGTTAAAAATGAAAAGAAGAAAACGAGTGACGCACGCCGTGTCACCGGCAGCACATATATACTCTTTCACAATCTTCGAATCATGGCTCGTAGTATAAAGTGGACAAAAGTTGGCGGCATCAAGAACATTATATCTGTCTATATATAAGCATGTGGCACCGTTAATTTCAGGCCAATTCCTTTTCTTTGCCTTTCAGTCCAATTTGTTTCCAAGAAACCAAAAACTAATTAAAGCAAGCA